GCTCTTTGGTTGCCATGAACTTTGCCTTGGTTTCTGCTACCCGAACCCCAGACGCCCTTAAGCCCTTGAACCATATAGTCCCCCTTAAGTAGATAGAATATGGGGTATATGGGGATCTTATTATAAAATATCCAAAGCCATATTCTATCTACTTAAGGGGGACTATAAGCCCAAAGCCCAAAGCCACATGAAGTCAACTTTGCGCCATGAAGGTTATGAACTTTATTACTTGGAGTTTCAAGGCAATTGCAAGCCCCAATCACAACTGTAGTTATAACTCCAGGAACACCCCATACGGGAAGATCGGGAGCTAATGACTGGGGGCTAAATATAGTTTTGACTGGGTTGCGGTTGCCCTAAACCCTACGCAAACCCTATGTAACAATGATCCCCATAAAGCCCCCCCCGCGAAACCCTCAACCCTTATTTGGCCCCGAAACCGCTCGGGGAAAATGCAAGCCAAGGACCGCTTGAAGCGCTTCTTCATCAATGGATGCGATGGCCTCACAGCGGGAGGGAAGCAGGACCCCTATGTCCGCTGCTAAGGGTCCCTGAGTAAGGCTAATGCTGACAGTAGCTACGTGAGCCATAATCTAAACTCCTAGTATCTCCCTTAATAACCTCGAAAAGTAATCCCCTAGACAATCCCCTAAAGAACCCCCTTTATGGAGTTTAGACTATAGCTCATGTAGGAGTCAGGGCTTGGCAGTATGTTGGGGACCCCAACATACACCCCAAAATACTATATTCTATGTGAGTACGACCCCCGAAATGGTACCTAATTTTGGAAAACAACCAAATACTATCAAATATGGAGGTTATGAGGAGATAATACAGTATTAGGGATACTTCAGGCTTGTACTGTGCCCCAAACACTGCTTGGAGTTCAGCGCTTCAGGGTGTAGCAGTCAGGATTGCAGGGGTTGGGTTTAGGGATTCGCGTGTTGCTTTCTAGCTGTTGTTATGTTTCGGGCTCAGAGTTTAGAGTTCAGGGTTACGGGTTTACAGTATACTTGACAATGGGATATGGACAAGCAAATGGAAACTGTCTAAAGCTTTTGCGTGTGCAGCTTGGGCTTCAGGCTTTGGGGCGTAGCATTCAGGCTTTGAGGTGTAGAGTTCAAGATTTGATGCTCAGGAGTTTTAAAGCATGGGTTTAGGGCTCAGACTTTGCCATCTAGGGCCCTAAACCCTAAACCCTAAACCTAGGTTCCCCAGTAACCCATTAATAATAAGGGTACCCTTTTTCCTACTGTTCGGCTTTAATAAGGAGACCCCAAAATAAAAAGGGCAAAAGGGCACTACTGGGGTACCTAGAAACCCTTTACAGTTTGGAGCGGCAGCTTCAAGCCTAACGGTGGCATACTGGGATTTAGGGTTAGCGTTTAGGGTTTAGGGTTAGGGTTTAGGGTTTAAGGGTTGAGGGTTTAGGGTTTGGTTACTGCTATTGTTCTTTGCTGTTACTTCGGCCATGCCGAAGTGAAATCGCAATCATCCTCACTTCAAGAAGCTAGTTCGCCTCTCGTTCCATTCATTCAGGATTCATGAGTACACACTTAGAGAGCCCTTGCAAGGCTTTCGCAAAAACAAAGGAGGGAGTTCAATAACCCTAAACCCTAAACCCCAAACCCTAAACCCTATAGAAGCACCGCGCAGCGAAGGGGTGTCCTCAATCTGGTCCCTTCCAGTATTTAGCCACCTATATTCTCTAGCCCCGAATGACTTCATCAAACTTACCCCGAACCCTAAACCCTAAAGACAACCCTTAAAAAAACTAGAAACCTTCAAAAACCTAAACCCTAAACCACCAACCCCAAACTTCACACCTTCCTCCTTGGGACTTAGTAAGCATGCCTATTATAACCCCTACAAGCCGCACCATACCCAGAGTTTATCCCCACGACTAACCTAGTTACTAAGGCCCCCCTGACCACCAACCCTAAACCATAAACCCTAAACCCCCTCCCCTGTGGACCCTTTGAGTTCCCTTGGAGCCTGTGTGCTCCAGCCTCCCAATTTCGAGCTGATGCCAGCGCCTGTGCTCAGCTGGATGTCTGGATTTAAGGGTTAGGATTTAGGGATTGGGGTCTAGGTTTGGGGTTGGACCCTAAACCCTAAACCCTAAACCCTGGGGTTTATTGCACGATTTGCGATTTAGGTTTGGGGTTAAAGGCTCAGGGTTTTGAGGTTGACGGCTTAAGCCTCAGGCCTAGGGACCGGAGTACTCAGAAAACCTTTCCACATACCATATGAGCTATAGAATCAACTCCTAGTGTCTCCCTTTATAATTCCTATACTCGTGTGTATAACCCCCTTTTAGGGAGTTTAGAGCTCATATGGTAATTGATCGACATGTCTGTTCCCAAAATTGCTGTTGTGTAAATGTATTTCCCCTATACTTTTCCACGTAGACCTACAGGATCTCTACATGATGTTGATCAACCCCACATGCTGAAACGAGAAGGTAGGACCATCTACAGAAAGTGTCTTTCCAGTGCGGGTGGGGGGGCTTGCATAAGGGCTAGCTTAGGAATTGTTTCGGACCATCGGGGCTCACGAAACGAGCACTTGAAGGCTCAGGGGACTCCGTATTGTGACGCTTTCGCAACCAACTGACTAAGTCCTCTGAGCTTCTAAGTATACAAGGCTGAAATAAGGTCCCAACATACCTTCCAATGGAAAATGTGTAAACCCAGGAACGACGAAATTTAGCAAGGCCCCATACTGAGGTGGTGTCAAGATTTATCAATATCATTTTGAAGTCTATCTGAGGTACCCTGTACCATAAGTAGACAAAAACCCTAAACCCTAGGAGATCTAGGACCATAAAATAAGGAATCATCCCTATAAGCCCCTAGATAAACCCAGTGTCCAGTTGAATTTTCTTGTTTCCATTTGATTTCCATCATCCCTAAGCGAAACCCTAACGCATAAATCCTGAAATTTTATTGTGCTTCTACATTGTCCTAAAGGCTCGGTGTTGTGATCCACCACCCTTCGCCAAAACGGCGCCTCCTTACATCGTTTTCTGAAAACAGAAGGACTCAAGCTATCTGCTAGACAGCACTACATGACATGAGGACCAAAGAGCAACTCCTCAAAACCAACCTTCTTTCAGATTTCTTGGATCCTGTGGGTTAAGGGTTGGGGCGTAGTATATACTGGTATATAGGGGATATGTAGGGATATATGAGAGTATATGGGGGGGTATATGGCATGGCCCGCCTGAGAAGACGCCAATTGTGTGAGCCACTGCAAGTCCTCAGGACTCACCAGGGATGTGATTGAGGGCCCACTTGGGTTTAGGGTTGAGGGCCTAGGGATTAAAGGCCTACTTCTGAATCCATGACTAGCTACAGGTCATACTTCAGGCAACGGGATTCGCACCCATCTTAACAGTCTTAGCATAATTTTACTGCTGCTTACATGTCCCCACAAGGTCCTGAACCTACCAGCATCCAATGCTGGACATGCAGTATCGGCAGAAGGGGCAGCATAAGACTCCATGTGCCCTAAACCCTAAACACTAAGCGCTAAACCCCAAACAACTTGAAATCCTTGTTAAAACCACTCCCACCCCTGGACTGTCACCACATACCTGGGAGAGAGTTTGTGGTTTAGGGTTTGAGGTTGAACTCTGAAAGCAATCCATCACATCCCTACTCTGTTTGAACACCCAGTTGGTAAGAAGCCCCAAGTCATGGCACGCACACGCACGCTGTACAGACCCTAGCCTGCATAGAAATAAGCCTGGTATCCTAAGCCCCTAACCTCGGATCCCTAAATCCTGACCTTACCCACCTTAAACCCTAGGCAAATCCTTGAGATCAGTACTCAATGTAACCCTCCCCCTCCCTAAACTCCCTCCCCATCCCTAAACCCTAAACCCTGAACCCTTCCCCTCCCATCCCCCCCCCGCAAAACTCCCTCCCCCTCAGTCCTGCCGGTGGGGACCGCGAGTTCGACAGGAAGAAGTTGCGCCCAGAGTCGAGGCTGCTGGGGGGCGGGACTCCTGCTTACTTGGAGGTAAACCATATTGGGGTTATATAGGGTTTAGGGTTTAGGGTTTAGGTTGGGTACTGCCCCCACCCAGGAACAGTCTATATTAGGGGTCCTACTAAGGGCTATATAAAACCGTATCATAATTATTATCCAACTGTTACTGACGGGGGGCAGTACCCAAGGTATACAGCTTGGGGTTTGAGAGTTTAACCCCCAATTTGAACCCCCAACCCCTAAACCCCTAAGCCAAAAACCCCTAACCCCTAAACCCCGAAGCCCTAAACCCCTGAACGACATAGAAATTTCGAAGGGACTTCTTGGATCAGGGCTTGGGCTGAAACCCTACACCTTCTATCCATCCTCCAGGCTCCAAAACACTAAGCCTTTAGGCTTGGCATCTTAGGTCTTAGGGAATTTGGGGTTTAGGTTTGAGGGTTCGGGCTTTAGGGCTTTAAGGTTATCAGGGTTTTTAGGCTCAGGTTTTTGGGGTTGGCATTAAGGATGTGAGCCATAGTCTAAACTCCTAGTATCCCCCTTAATAGCCCCTATAGTAGTCCCCCATATAATCCCCCATATAATCCCCCTTTAAGGAGTTTAGACTATAGCTCATGTAAGGTTTAGGCGTTACGGCTGAGGAGCTGCGGCTGCGGTCTTCCGGTTTGGATCTCACAGTTTAGGCTTTAGCTTTGGGCCTTAGGTCTCAGAGTTTAGGCTTGAGGAGGTCCGCTTCGGTTTTAAGGCTTAGGGTTTAAGGCAGGGTTTAGGGTTTAGGGCTTAGGCTTAGGGCTTAAGGTTTAGGGTTTAGGGCTTAGGGTTAGGGCTTAAGGTTTAGGATTTAGGGCCTAGGGTTTTAGGATGCTCAGACCATTGGTGTCCTGGCTTCTGGGACAAGACGACAGCTGTGCCCACGAGACAGCTGCTTCGATGGTCGTCCTCGAACCGTTTGACACAGAAGGGCTTCGCGTTTAGGATCTAGGGTATAGGTATAGGATGTAGTGCGGAGGACTCAAGGTCTAGGGTTGAGAGTTGATAGTAGAGGTCTAGATTTAGGGTTGAACGGAAAAGCCTGAAGAATCGCCAAAAGTATTGCCTCAAATCATCTGTATGTCATTCTTCTACGGCAAACCCCACAGTCCCTTTCTAAAGCATATAAGCCACTCAGTCGCTACATGGGGGCTTAGGGTTTACTGCGGAGGCTACAGAATGAAGACACTGGAGATAGGTATGGCTCTGTAAGCTATAGGACTTCTAGGACAGGGGTATTTAGAGGTTGGATATGAAAGGATAGGGATGAAGACTCTACAGGATTTAGGGTTTTAGGGTTTTAGGGTCTTAGGGTTTAGGGGTTTAGGGGTTTAGGGTTTAGGTTTTGGCTCCGGGGATGGTTTGGGGTTCGGGGCTGTGTTCAGGATATCTTTACATAGAATGCGCTTGGAACAGGCAAATTGTCATTGTTCCGGATCACCGTTTTGTATCGACTGCGTACAGAGATTCCCAGGTTTGGAGCTGATGCAGGGCTTGTCTTGGGTCATCGTCTTTTTGAAGCGCTGTGGCTTACGAAGGAGCGATATCAGGCGCATAACCGTGATGAAGGATCCAGGTCGGCTTTGGGAGGTGCTCTTCCTCATCAGTTGAGGGCCAAGGAGTGGGGAGGGAGGAAGGGAGGGAGGCAGGGAAGGAAGGCTGTCGGACTTTCGGCTTATAGTCCCCCTGAAGTAGGTAGAATATGGAGTATATGGTGATCTTATTCAAATATACCCAAAGCCATATTCTATCTACTAAAGGGGGACGATATGGTTTGACATACTTCCACTTGCACTTCTCGCCCCGCAGGATGCGAATGACGCAGTTCAGGGAGGGCCTCGGATAAGGATTGGAGATGTCGGCTCTACCCTAAACCCCAAGCCCTAGGCGCTAAACCCTAAGCCCTAAACCCAAACCCTAAAACCTAAACCCGAAACCCTTTAGCCCTAAACCCCAAACCGTAGGGTTCCAAGTTAACAGCTGTGGGCTTAGGGTTTAGGGAAACTCTAGCGTCAACTTGAAACCACCCTGTGCTCTAAAAAAAAAGCAGAGCCCTTCAGAAGCTTCAATCTTTGGCTTTTAAGAAAGAACGACGCTTCGTGGATTCCCTTACTACGCCCACCCTTGGCTTATGCTACCCCCCCACCCCCGAATGCCCTCCATAATTGGCACTATCTAGGGATAGCTAAGGCTAACTAGTCAAGACCTACGGGGGTTAGTATTGGGGTCATTCAGAGAAACCGTAAAAAGCTTCAGAAACCCCAAATTGTCCTGATATGACCCATGGTTTTGATTTCTTTTGCCCCACCTGGACACCCAATAGACATTCACCAAGGGAACCCTATCTCCGAAGAAAGATGTACCCATCTTTTAGACGAAGCAACATCGTGGGTCCACTTGATGCCCATCACCCCATTGGCACCCGCTTGCTGCGCCTGACGTGGGGAGGTTCTCTGCATGCCCTGAAGTGGGTCAAACTTACTGGCCTTTTCTAGGGAATGAAGTTAGGTATATAAGTTCGAATTACATAAGTTGGGATCCATGGAAGGCTTTCATGTAGGGAGTTCAAGCTTCCGGTAGACTACGTTGGAGGCTTCAGGCTCTGTGCTCAGGGTTTAGGGTTTAGGCTTTGGGGGACTGAGGGCTTCAGTTCCAAGCGCATGCTCTCGCAACTCACAACATTCAAGACCCCAAACACTGAAACCCAAACCCTAAACATTAATCATATACGAATTACCAAAACCTGTACTATAATTACTATTACCCAAATCCCAGGTACCTTATTGGGTACTTGGACCCTAAAAACTAAACCCCAGTGTGACCAGGTGTTCAAGGTCAATGTGAGCACAGCCGCCACTACAAAACCCAAAACGCTGCACAGCAAGATGCGTTTGAGTATCTCTCCTATCAACATGCCCCCCCCGACTGTAGTCCTTATTCTGAAGGTCTTACAGAGCAAATGTAATCCTCTTTCTGGGAAATCCTAAAAGGGCCCGCCAAATGTGCATCTCATTTGGACAGCGCATTCCGCACATGCAGTCTTTGAGCTCAAACCAGGGGCGGCATGCTGTTTGGCTTGCTGTCAAGGAACTGAAAAAAGTTACCATAATATGGGTATATAGTAGTTAATAAGGTTTCTGCAGTTTCCTTGCTGCAGTGGCTTAATCTAAGTTCCTGAACAGCAACTCAACGCTTGCGAAATTACACGGAGGCTCTCCTATCATGCCAAACTTGTTTAAAAGTTGATGGAATGAGATCAAACTGTTTCCATGGCTTGCCGAATATCTCCATCAGATTCTTAGATGGAATGGAGAGCATGGAACCTGGACGCTTCACGACTGTTTTCTTATCATCATGCCAACAGGTTGCTTGTGGTAGCTTTGGTGAAGAGTTCTTTAAGACTCTAGAGGATTGGATACGCATCGCTGTCGGGAACAGGTCCGCATCTCGCGAAGTGCAAAAAATCACAGAAAACGTGCCCGGAATGTAGTGAAAACCTTGCAAACGCAAAGGAAGCCCAGTGAAACTGGCTGAAGGGACAGAGAACAGACAGGGGGATCTGTTGTGCGTAGCCTGCGCGGAAAGAAACCTGTTCCATCATTGCCAAGAGCTTGCATTCTTTTGAAGGGTTGGATGTCAACGGTGCCGCTACCATGGGCATAAGGGGAGTGGACTGGTTCTTCGTGCCAGTTCTAGCTCTAGCTATTCAAATTGAAGCCTCTCATATGTGGTAGATTGAATAATTCATGGGCTGTGCATGAAACGTAGAGGCTGCAGGGTTTAAGGGTCTTTGGATTGAAGGGCTTAGGGTTTGAGGGTGTAAAGGTTCGGGGTTCTCAAGTTTAGACTGCATCCAAAAGAGCCCTACTTCCGAATCCGCCCTCAACAGACCCCCGGACCTCATGGAGCCGCCTAAACACCCTACCCAAGAACCCCGGTACATCCTCATCCCTCTCACCGCCTTCTCCCAACGAGCCCTCTAGCACCGCTCAAACACCTAAAGCCCCTAAAACGGGTCATTGATGAATCTACTTTGGTTGTTCTATGCTGCCAAAGAAATTCAAACCAGAACTTTTGTTGATATCAAAACATGAACTACCCTAAACCCTCAACCCATATGGGGAGGCCTGCTGTATCAAACTATTGACGGCAGCGGAAAAGGTCTCCTGCTCCTTGGCAGCATCAGGGAGAGTGCCTATTCGGAGGTCAAGGGTATCTAGGATCTATCGAAGGTGATTAGGTGTAGATTTGGGGTTGAAAATCACATTACAATGGCGGCACGTGTATTCCAACTATAAGCCCCTAGATGATGACATTGTAAAAACCAGTTCTACGTGGGTTGTACTTACCCTGAACCTCCAAGTAAGGTTTTGGTGACTGCAACGTGACATTTGGGGTTCTTGAGTTAGGTTAGGCCTCCACCCACTAATGGTGACCACAAGCGACAAGGATAGTTGAATAACGGTCCTTCTATATTCCTACTATACCGGGATTACTGGGTGCAGGCTTACCCCAATTTTTCAAGAGCTGGAGGAAGTGGTCTTGAGGTTGAAGTTTGGGTGGCTTCTTGGGCGTGAGGGCTTTGGGGAGGACACAGGGTTTAGCGTTGGGTACAGTGCGCGTACCGAGGAGCGCCGGAGTTGTAGGGTTGAGGGCGATAAATTAGGTTGGGCCCAAATGTCAGTTCATTACTTTCGCAAAGACAATCCATGCCGGACGTTCGACTCAAAGCGTTACGGTTTCGGCTTGGCGGGGTTTGGTTCGGCTGGCTTCGGTTTTGGCTTCTGCATGAGTTGTGTTTGGGTGGTCTTGGGGCGGGCATCTCTGGACACTGCTGCGTCCCGCCGACCGGTGCCTGAAACCCTAAGCCCTGTTACCCTAAACCTTTCACCCTAAACTGTTAATCCTTAACCCTTAAACTCTAAACCCTTAGCCCTTAAACCCTACACCCCGAATCCTAAGACCCTGAATAATAGTTTCCATTTTCTTTGCCATTATCCCAATATGTCCCCTATACATACCCAAATACAGCCCATATATACACCCCAATATATACCCAAACCCCCATCATCTGCCTAGTCATATTTGCAGCCGAGTTGCGCTCTCCGCGTCCCGGCGCCGGTTTGACGCGACGCCAAAGCCACCCCAGCGCCACTGCCTGGCTTCAGGGTTTAGGGCTTAGAGCTTAGGGTTTAGGGCTTTAGGGCTTCGGGTTTTAGGGTTGAGGCTTTGGGGTTTTAAGATTTAGGGTTTGGGTGTTGGGGCTTAGGGTTTTGGGCTAGGGATGAAGGTCAAGGAAAGGATTCCTGGTGCGCTTTGGAGACTGTTTCAAACAACCTAAGATGATTGTCCTTACTGGGTTTGCAACATGGCAACTTAAAATTATGCTCAACCAGGGCCAGGTAGTTCCTGCTACAAACTGCAACAACCCGAGGTGCCCTGTACCTTGGCAATCACGGCATTCTAGTACACTCTGCAAGAGCCACATGGCAATATCAAGTGAAAATGTTCAGACTGTCGGAAATGTTAAATGCTCAGCATTACATGTGAGCTACATGTTGCGCAAGGGGATTGAATGCGTTCTGGGATGATGAGGCTGGGGTGACATAAGCGTTATGTAGCAACTACAGGGGAGATCATCACAGGACAGGCGGGTAGATGTAAAAGCGAAATTCTGCAGGGGTTCGAGGCAGTTTCGGGCTTATGCGCAAGGCTGAGTAGACCGTTGACAATGGATCTGGTGTGGGATGCAGGGCTCGAATGCTTATGACCAATCCTCCTCGAATCATAAAACTACCCTCCCCCCCACCTCCCCCCTATACGCATGTCCCAAAACTAAATAGCCCAATAAGCCCTAACAGTCCCCAACAAAATCCCTTAAGAAGCCCTTGACTTGTGCGGGGCCCATACCATCACTAGCCCCATGAGAAGTGGATTTGGAAGGCTTGGGCCCTCCTCCCTGCCATCATCCAAGCTCCTGAATCCTGCTCGGATGTTCAGGGCAATTATAACCCCAGTCAATTCAGGGTTTAGGGAGATTATGACCCAAATGTATCTGGTACGTACAACCAACACAATTATGATTGGGTGTGATACCCTAAACCCTAAACCCTTAACCCTAAAACCTAAACCCTAAACCCTGAACCTCCAAGTAAGCCCTGAACCCCAAGCCTGTAGCCCACGCTGCTGACCAGTCCGAGTACTCTGGACACCTTTGGGCTCCCAAAATATAAAGGTCTAAAGGGTTCAGGGTTTAGGCTTTAGGGTTCAGGGATTAGGGTTTAAGGTTTTGAGTTCAGGGTTTAGGGTTTAAGGTTTACGGTGAATGTTGTGGAACCCTATATACATTCATCTTAGAGACATGACAATAACACCCCTCTTCATGCAGGGGTGAGACGCTGCCACGCGGATGTAGCCGATCTCAAAGCAACATTGAGGGGGCAAAGCAAGAAGCTTTGTCAAGTACCTTGCTTGAAAACACATAGGGAACCCCAAACGGATGTACGCCGAAAGTCCTGTTCCAATATTTCCCCTGAAGATCCGTGCTTAAACCAGAGGACTCAACCCTGTTGCTGGGCAAATTTCTAACCGCAAAATGAAAAAAACTAGTTAACAACATCAACTACCCGTAAACAACATCATGTTTTGTTATTTGGCTATGTCAAGAGAGCCGCACTGATTGTGATCCCAAAGGAACAGACTAGCAATACTAAACCAATTGCAAGTCGATATGCTCCTAATGATGCATGTCTCCGTACTGGGCCACTCAATAGCCCCATCCATGGGATTCTCAACAGCGACCTATGGATTGGAGCAACCCCATTAAGCGCATGGTCTTGACAAGCCACACAGAGGTGCTTCGCGGGAGTTTGCCTCAGGGCGTTTTGGTTTCGAGGCGTATGGGTTAGGAGTCCAGGATACGGGGTTCAGCAGTTTGGGGATCGAAGCTTGTCAAACTCTTGGTTCTTTATGGCAGTCCCAAAAGTCAGCATCATGGGAAAAATGCTCCTGTAAAGGTTCAGAGATATCTATGTAGAAGTAAATAAGAGTATATCCTTCCGGCAAAATACTCTGGCCCAAAGCAGGATGCACTTTTGCTGTATATCTGGGACTACAGTATCCACAAATAAGATAAAACTTTGGTCAGTCTCCCCTACAGTAGTAGCCTCCAAATATGAACTTCGTAAGGTGATAAAATCTACCTACCATACTTCTTTGTGGTACTCATTACTGCGCGTGGGGGTTGACCCAAGGTACCAGTCTTTTTGCAAGTCAACCTTGAGCCCTAAACCCCACAAGCCGTTTGAACAGGCTTCTCTCAAGGGCTCAGGAAGCCAAACACCGCCAGCAGCATGGTAAACTCCATGACCCGTACACAAAGACGGACAAAACAAACAAGAAAGAAAATGAATACGAGAGAAGAAGAGACATCCACCACCACCACCACCACCACCAGCACCACCACCCCCGCCGCCGCCGCCGCCGCCACCACCACCACCACCACCACCACCACCATCACCACAAGAGGAAGAAGAAGAACACTAAACCCTAAACTCTGAAGTCTAAACCAACATCATCATAAGAAGTGAAACTAAACCAATTCGGAGACATCCCGTGCGGCTTTCAAGCTAGGTGTCCCTGCTACATGCCTCTATACCCCCATATAACCCAAATATAACCCATTAGAGTAGTTTCCATTTTCTTTTCCATTCTCCCATATAACCCCTGGTGTCTCTGCTACATCTTTCTGAAGGGCTCAGGGTCTAGGGCCTGCCTGAGTTGTGGCCGAATTAAGGCTAAGAGTTCAGATATAACCTAAGTGGTTAGGATTTAGCATTGAGATTTTGGGCTTTGGAGTTTAAGGTTTGGGGCTTAACGGTCTGGGGATTAGAGTTTAGGGGTTTAGGGTTCAGAGTTCAAGGTCTAGGACTTAAGGGGTTGAACTAGGCTTTGAGGTTGGAGTTCTCAAGTGAGCTAGTGCTTAAGCTCCTAGTATCCCCTTCATAAGCCCTATGATACTCAATGTGTAATCTCCTATGTAACCCCCTTTAAGGAGTTTAGACTATAGCTCAAGTGGCAACCTTGAGCCCGAAATCCCCGGCGGCTAACTAACAGGATCTCAATTGAGGAGTCGAAGCCCTGCTTAGGGTTTAGGATTCAAGGTTTGAGGACATAAAAGTCCCTAAGCCCTAAACCCTAAACCCTAAACCCTGGGGTTGGAAGACTGAAGTAGGACCTAGCATCCCTTCCTACTCCGGGGTAAGTGTCCACAAGCCTGGACCTTGGACCTCATCCACCTTCACTTGGCACAACACCCTAAACCCCTAAACCCTAAACCCCTAGACCCTAAACCCCTAACCCCTAAACCCCTAAACCCCTAAACCCCTAAACCCTGAACCCCCTAAACCAGGCTCAACAACCTGAAGTCTAAAAACCTATGTAAGTCAGCCCGAAACAGACAGGTTGCATTGCCGAAACTTCCACTCTGGAGTGGTGATACCTGGGAGCTGTCCGCATGTGCCCTAAACCCTAAACCCTAAACCAACCCTAAACCCTAAAGACTTAAACCTAAACCCTCAAACCCAGAACCCTGACACCCTAAACCCTGAAACCCTGAACCCTCAACCCCCTAGGTTTGGGGGTGGCGGAGTGCACTGCCTGTGTAGGATTGATCTCTCAGTGTTTTATCGTCAGGGCTCGAGCTTCAGCATGTGAGCCTTAGGCCCCAAGACTCCGAGGGTGCAGAATGCGTTGAGATATGGTAGTTTCCCAAAATAAGGGGACCCCAATATAGACCCCAACATACTATAGTCCTTATTATTAGGACCCCAAAATGGTACCCCTAATTTTGGGAAACCCCCATATGACAGCCCCAAATGATGCCTGGGGGTAGAAGTAAATACAATCAGGGCGGGAGCCCAGTAGCTATACTCCCTATTGGGGTTATATAGGGCTTATGGGTACCCATTGGGGTAATATTAGGGTTATATAGGGGCTATATAGGGATAATGGAAAAGAAAATGGAAACTACCATAGTATATTGAGGTTATATGAGTGTACGGCAATTGCAGGTGACTTCTGTCAAGCACCTGTAATGCCTCTGACACGTGTTGCCAGCAAATCTATGACCTCAGTCATGAATATGCAGGAAATCATACAACTCTTCCACTCTGCAAGTGGCAGTCCGAAGTGACAGCCGCGCGGTATGCAACTGTAACAATGAGAGTCTGATAATTTTTTAATCTGCTGCTGCGCCAGACCTGCCTGGGCCTTGTCATGACGTGAATTTGGAATCCTCCAAATATGTCCCTACGTCCTGAGCCATCCAGTTGTACGCCTAACCCCGCGAAACGCACCGTGAAAAGACATTAAACCGCACAATGACAGCATCCACCAAGACCTGTTTTGTGAAACTTACTCCTCAAAACCTCCAGAATCCTTTCCGAATCCTCACATCAGCCAAGTGTAGATCTCCTAAAACCACCCTAAACGCTAAACCCCAATCCCTAAACTCTAATCCCTAAACCCTAAACCCAAATCCCTAAATCATCCTAAACCCTAAACGCTAAATGCAATCTCCAATAGCCCAGGGACGGGATCTGATCGACCATCTCCTCGAACTGGGAAAGGCGGACTGCGGTGCCCTGCTTGAAAAGCTTCTTTTAAGCTTTCAGGCTCAGGGGTTTAGAGTTTAGGGTCTAGGGTTCAGGGTTTAGGCCTTAGGGCTCAGGGGCAAAGAGGACATGGAAACTAATGTCTAGGATTTAAGGTTTAAGCTTTGAAAGCCCCAAAACCTAAACCTTAAACCTACTGGAAGCCTGGGCGCAGTAGGTAGCCATCAGTGTTTATTGCATCGGCTTTCTATTCTTGGCAACCACGCACCTGTATATATCTGTGCAACAAAGGGTGACTATGAAGGGGCAGACCTTACGCTCGACTTCTGTAACTTCAATGACAACTTTGGGTACCGGGAACGAATACTGACGAGGTTCAGGGTTTAGGGGTTAGGGTTTAGCGAGAGAGGTTTTGTTAGTGCAATGTGCCTTGAGCACGCACATGAATCGCGAGCAGTTCCAGATGCTGAGAGCCTGCCGGAGCAAGAGGTCGGCAATACACGGGGGGTGTAGATGTAAGGTGTAAATCTACCATTTCGAGGTCTTTGAAGATACCCTCATGATTATATAAGCCATCTAGGATCACAATATTGGCAGTTATTTAGGCCTCTACCTCAGCTTTGAAGTTTTGTGCGTGTCCACTTGGACCACTATGGAACCCCAGTCTCCTTACTACGAGGCCAAAGTCCAAGCTGAGGCCAGGCGATCTGGGCCCTTGTTTACGCGTTGCAGCTTTAGGGTTGAGGGTTTTGGGTACCAAGAAGACAAATAACTTTGAATCTACAGGTGGGTCACTCCTCAAAACACATTCAGGAGCCAGATAGCAAGCCATTGCCCCCCATACCCTAAACCCAAAGCCTAAACCCTAAGCCCTAAACCCCAAGCCCTAAACCCTAAAACCTAACCCCTACACTCTACTTCGCACCCTCTAATGCTAAATATCACCATTGCCATATATTCTAGTATAAGTTGGTCATATGAAATAGTAGGGGTGGTGGGGGGTGTTTAATATTATGGGGAGGGGATTACCCTCCCCCTTGGGCCCTTGGGATCTTCCTACTGGTGCTTAAGGATAGAGATCCATTCTCACACTCCCCTTTAAGCACCAGCATGTCTTGCGAAAATAAAATCGAAATCCGGGGACAGTCAGGCCCCCCCCTTTTGATAACTCAAGTTTGAAGCTGGGCACGCCCTAGCCGTAAACCCTAAACCCCAAACAACAGGTTTTCACAATCCTCACACTCGAGTTCTGGCAGGCGATTGAGAAAAGGCAAGCAGGAAATCAGTGCCGCGGAGCCCAAGGGTTTAGGGAATCCAAGGGCGGGCTCAGGTGCGACTTGATGTGGCGGGAGTCCGCGCAGGAGCAAAATCTAGCTCATACTACTTCTTATCCTTGGTCTGGGCGGTTTAGGGTTTAGGGTTTAGGGTTGCGCATAGAGGCTAGGTCCATGGCATAGAGGCTAGGTCCTTGGTACGTGCGCATGTAGCTGTCTTACGTGTGGTTGTCAAAAATTGCACGTAGCAACGCCACACTTAAGAAAATCTTACCGTTCAGAAAGCCCTTCAAGCGGCTTCAGGCATCGCCAGTCAAACCCTAAAACCCTTAACCCATTATAGTAGTTTTCATGCTGTTTTCCATTCTTCCTATATAACCCCTATATGAAGCAGTCTACATAAGCATTAGAGTGAGGATATCGGGCCACACGTGAGCTAGTGAGGTCATATGGATAGATCGAACGATGAAAGGATCATTCTGACGGACCTAAACCCTGAACCTTTAACCCTGCCGGTAAATTGCCTCAATCTTGACTCCTAGCACCGCATCCGCTCCCATAGACGTGGCTGCGGCCTGGAAATGTGTGGGATTAGGAGAAACGCTGTTAAGTTTACGCTTCTCTTCGTTCTCGCCGTTATATAAAAAACTTCACAAGATTGAGTATTAAGCCCCTCCCCGCATAACAAACCTCGCTGAGAGTAATGTGCCCAACACAAAACCAGTAAATGATAGGGTGAATACTCAAGGTTGGAGGGTGGTCATTATCAGGATAGGGGATAAACCTGCTGCAGGACACCAGCCTGCAGACCCTGGGAAGCAGTTTAGGCTTTAGTCAGGGTGTAGGTTTATGGTATAACCCTAAACCCTAAACCCTAAATTGAGTACTGTGAATATGCCTGACCCAAACGTTGCTGGGTCACTATTGCCAGAACTTTGACGGCTTGATCACTGCATATTTCTATTCTTACGAAGGCCTTCCGGCGCTGTTGTTCCTATCGTTATGATATCCCTTCCCCTCTTGTCAAACCCTCTCTGATACTAAACATCCCTCTTTCAGACCTCCTAAACCCTAAACCCTAAACCATTTTAAGCGGTGCGGGGGATGTTTCTCCTAAGCCCTGAAACCCGAGAAGCCTTTGACCCCAAAACCCCATCAATCTTACACCTTAGAAGCGAAGCCTTGTATAGGGGAAAGGAACTGCTTATAAACACATTTGAAAGGTTTAGGTCTTGGCGCCTAGGATTAGGCTGTAAAATTCTGTGGCTTTAGGGCTTTTTTTCGGCTGTAGGCTTCATTTCGGGGAAGATGAAGATCTTAGGGTAAAGGTTTAAAGGTTAAGCGGGTTGAGGGTTTAGCTAGACCCTAAACCCTAAACCCATTTGTCTTCTGCAAGCTGTCTAGCAGTGGACAAGAACTGTGATAGTCGTGGCCTAACTGCCCTGGAAAGGTCCCACTGTTTTGGGGGGTGGGGTTATATACCCAAAAATCCTCCTATTCCTAATACTATTACTATTACTATTACTATTACCCAAAAAATCCCTATATAAACGCGCTGGCGGCCTGAATCTTTGCCATCGCTTGCCGCAGAGCCACAAGTTCTCCCATGGCAGTCCTGCAAACGTGTAGATGAGTATAAGTTGAAGGTTTTGGGCTCGGGGTTAAGTTGGATATTGCCCCCATTCAGTAACAGCTGAATAGCAAATACGATATAGTTATATGCAGCCCATAGTACCACCTCTATTATAGACTGTTGCTGGGTGGAGGCAGTACCCAAGGTTTCGGGTTCAGGGCTCAAGGGCTATGGAGCCAGGGTTTTGAAGGCATTCTGGAAGGATTATACATATTTGCCTCTTAACGACTATACAAGGAATGTTGTTGAGAAATGCTTTCGTGCCTTGAGTTTAGAGGCTTTTGAGGGAACGTTTGCGACCTGAACCTAAACCCTATACTGCATAAATGCCTTTCAGCAGTCCATGGGGGGGAGTTTCCGCATGCAAACAAGTAGAGTTATTTTAATCAAGTTCTTTTGATTTGTTCATGCTCCGCCCCTGCTTTTCGTTCCATCTGTGCTCTGCCATCTGCGGTCCCCCTTAAGTAAATAGAACATGGCTTTGGGCATATCACAATAATAACAGGCCCATGAACCCCATATTCTATCTACTTTAGGGGGACTATAGGCAGATTCGACCTTGTTGATTGACCCGCGTTTCAGACACTCAGCTGCCATGTGAGCTACAGTCAAGATTGCCCGGAGGATCAACGGACATGGGTTCCCTATTAGACTGTATAAGGGACCGTATTAAATTACGAGAGACACCACTTTGTCCACGACTCAGGCCCTTGATAAGTCTACTGTTCACGATAGCTCATGTGGGAAACTAGCCCCAGAGGCATGCCAGGCTGCAGATGCATAATTCCTGATGCGTTCGTGCAATGAAGCTACGTGCTTCTGAGCTGGCTTTCGTACACAAGCCCTAAACCCGTCTGAACCCTAAAACTAAACCCTAAACCCTAAACCCAAATACTGCCTGTCGAGCTTGACATCTTGAAGCCCATACCTCTGGTCCTTGGCAAAGAACCTTGCTCGGAACTTCACCCCCTAAACCCTGAGCTCATTATTACTAGTGAGGGTGAGCAGTGAGCAGTATAGCATGTAGTCAGAGCCCCAAACGCTACACCCTACGGGGGTCTCAAGAAAACTAAGCCCTAAACCCTAA